AAGAAATATTCCTAAATCCCTGTGACTTTTTAAAAATTCCCCAAGTTTCCCCCAATTGTGATCTCTTGTTTCTGTTTTTTTCCCCTCTCTGGAACACCTGTTTTTTGTCCCCCTTTAAATCTTTTCCCAAAGCAGTTTTTTATATGTCGTTACCCATGCCCCTCCCCCTTGACCCTTCTGTCCTTTCCCCTGTCGTCAGTTCGTTTTTTCCTTTCAAAAAACCCTTTTATCGTAGGACATTTCCCCTGAGCCGGGAAAATACCCTGTTGCAAATCTTTGTATTTTTTTTTCTCAATTTTTCTTGACGGTTTCTTTTTTCCAGGTGTGGGTTTCCCAAACTGGTGCTTGGGTACTCCAGAATTTGGGCCCTGACGTACACGTGTACTGTCTTGAACGTTCCTTATCAAGGTATCGGAACGCTATTCTCAGGTTTCCAGGGGCCCATTTGTTTGCAGCAGTTATCTGGTTTTACGTGTGTCTCCGGAGACGTTCTTTGGTGCGTGTGTGTACTTTACCCAATTGAAAGGGTTTCAGGGGTCGAACTCACTCCTGACCCCGTCTGGGGCCGTGTTTTGTGTTGTGTGTGTGGTTTTGTGGTGTGTTTTTGTGGTGGTGTGTGTGTGTGTGTGTGTGTGTTGTGTGTGTTTTGGGGTTAGTTAGTTACCATTTTGTCCTAGGCACATGTCGATTAACACTAGGCCTGTTGTGTATGTGTTTTAAAGTGTGTGTGTATTGTTGGGTTGGGGGTGTTTGTTGTATATTTTGTGTGAAATTTTGTGTAAAATGTGTTTTGTGTTTTGTGTGTGTTTTATGTGTGTGTATATGTTGGGGTATAATTTTGGTGTGTTGTTTGTGTGGGAAAATTGTGTGTATATGTGTGTATATTTTGTTTTGTGTATATGGGGTGGTGTATATGTGTGTGTGTATATGTATGTGTTGGGATATGTGTGTATTTGTATGTGTGTAAAGTATATGTGTGTATGTATATGTTTTGTATGTATGTGTGTATGTATATTTGTGTGTGTGGGGTGTTTTTGTGTATCAACCCAGTTTGTTACCCCCTGTTGGGTTGCCGGGGGGTTTGGTTTCCCCAGCTCCTGGCCCCGCCCTCCCTTTACCCGATCGCTACTAGGTCATCTCCCCGAAACCGTGACTTTATCATACCTCTGCTTAAAACTATGGGATGGATCCTGCCCCCACTACATCCTTCCCAAACTTTTTCCCCTTTCTGACTACTCTGTGGGTTGGGAAAAAATACTTCCCCAACAAACCCTGTGATTCATCTGTGTCTTTAGCTTTCCCAAATGTTTCCCCTTGTTACTTTGTCCAACTCTGGAACAAACCCCGTTTTTTGTCCCACCTTGTCAATTCCTCTCAGTATTTTGTTTGTTGTTATCCCTGTCCCCCCCCATCCTTTTTCCTGTCCTCCATTTTCGTCAGGTTGATTTTCCCCTTTAACCCCTCCCGTAGGGGCCCTAAACCCCTTACTTTTGGGATAGTCTTGTTGGGAAACCCTTTTCACTTTCTCCCAGTTTTTTTTACTGCTTTGGGTAGGTTTTGGGTTCCAAAAATGGGGCCGCATACTTTCCCAAAAGGGCCCAACGTTTTTAAAAGGTTTTAAAAGGGTTTCCCGAACGATTCCTTATTAAGATGTCGGAATGCTGTTTTGAGGGTTTTCTAGGCGCCCATATGCTGGGAGCATTATTTGGGGTTTATGTGGGGCTTCAGGGGGATGTGGCCCCGGTGTTATACTCAACCCCCAAATCTTTTTCCCTTTAGGGGAGGTTTTTTAGGGCTCTGACCCCCCAAAACTGTACTCCGTCTGTGTGTGTTCGCGCGCGGGGCACGGTGCGTGTGTTGGTTTGGTGTTTTGTGTTGGTGTGTGTTTTGTACTCACCTAGTTGAGGTTTTTCGGGGGGTCGAAATCCGACTCCTGGCCCCCCCTCTTCATGAAACGCTACTGGTCACTCTCCCCGAGCCCTGAGCTTTATCATACCTCTGCTTAAAGCTATGTTTGGATCCTGCCTCCACTACATCGCTTCCCAAACTATTCAATTACTGACTACTCTGTGGCTGAAGAAATACTTCCAACATCCCTGTGATTCATCTGTGTCTTAAAGCTTCCAACTGTGTCCCCTTGTTACTGTGTCCAATCTCTGGAACATCCTGTCTTTGTCCACCTTGTCAATTCCTCTCAGTATTTTGTATGTCGTTATCTTTGTCCCCCCTTTTCTCTCCTGTCCTCCAGTGTGTCAGGTTGATTTCCCTTAACCTCTCCTCGTAGGACATACCAGTGTGTGTGGTGTGTGTGTGTGTGTGTGTGTGTGTCCCTCACCTATTTGTACTCACCTATTTGTGGTTGCAGGGTCGAGTCTTAGCTCTGGCCCCCCCCTCTTCACCGGTTGCTACTGGGCCCTCTTTCTCCCGCTCCATGAGCTTTATCAAACCTCGTCTTAAAACTGTGTATGGTTCCTGCCTCCACTACGTCATTTTCTAGGCTATTCCACTCCCTTACAACTCTATGACTGAAGAAATACTTCCTACTATCTCTCTGACTCATTTGTGTCTTCAACTTCCAATTGTGGCCTCTTGTTTCTGTGTCCCCTCCCTGGAACATCCTGTCTTTGTCCACCTTGTCTATTCCATGCAGTATTTTATATGTCGTTATCATGTCTCCCTGACCCTCCGGGTCTCCCAGTGTCGTCAGGCCAAATTCCCTTAATTTTTCTTCATAGGACATTCCCCTTAGCTCTGGAACTAACCTTGTCGAACCTTTGTACTTTCTCTATTTCTTGACGTGCTTTATCAAGTGCGGGTTCCAAACAGGTGCTGCATACTCCAGTATGGGCCTGACATACACGGTGTACAGTGTCTTGAATGATTCCTTACTAAGGTATCGGAATGCTGTTCTCAGGTTTGCCAGGCGCCCATATGCTGCAGCAGTTATCTGTTTGATGTGTGCTTCCGGAGACATGCTCGGGTTATACTCACCCCAAATTTTTCCCTCCTTGAGTGAGGTTTGGGCAGTCTTTGGCCACCTAGCCTATACTCTGTCTGTGGTCTTCTGTGCCCTTTCCCTATCTTCATGACTTTGCATTTGGCGGGTTTAATTCGAGAAGCCTTTTGCTGGACCAGGTGTCCAGTCTGTCCAGGTCTCTTTGAAGTCTGCCTGGTCCTCATCAGATTTAATTTCTCCTCATTAACTTCAATCATCTGCAAACAGGGACACTTCTGAGTCTAACCCTTCCATCATGTCTTTCACATATACCAAAAATAGCACTGGTCCTAGGACCGACCCTGTGGGACCCCGCCGTCACAGGTGCCCACTGTGTTTACATCATTACGTACCATGACTCGTTGTTGCCTCCCTGTCAGGTATTCTCTGATCCATTGCAGTGCTCTTCCGGGTTATATGCGCCTGATGCTCTAGCTTCTGCACTAATCTCTTGTGAGGAACTGTGTCAAAGGCCTTCTTGTAGTCAAAAAAGATGCAATAAAACCCATCCTCTCTCTCGTTTCTTACTTCTGTTATTTTATCATAAAACTCCAGAAGGTTGTGTGTGTGTGTGTGTGTGTGTGTGTGTGTGTGTGTGTGTGTGTGTGTTGTGTGTGTTTTGGTGTGTGTGTGTGTGTGTGTGTGTGTGTGTGTGTGTGGGTGTGGGTGGGTGTGTGTGTTCTGTGTGTTTTGTGTGTACTCACCTAATTGTGGTTGCAGAGGTCGAGACTCAGCTCCTGGTTTGTGTGTGTGTATGTGTATGACTCACAATCGGGGAGCTAGAATAATAAGGTTGATATTTTTAAGTACGCATGTAATATAATAGTTTTAAAAATGTCGGTTGTTTTATAGTCGATACCATAAAAATGGCCCATACCGATGCTTGGGTACATCGCTAAAATGCTCACTTCAAAAAAATTACGACGTAGTAGACTCTGGTATAAAAGCCATTTCTGTCATAGCTGAAAAACAACTGACATAAAATTACAGACAAAACAGCCAAAATAAATTAAATATTTATAGGGCAATTGATACAATGCAAGGCAATTTTAGGTTGCCTCGCATCTTACAACTGTCTACAAATACTGAAGTTTATTTAGGCTATTTTTAAAAGTTAAGTTATGTCAATTGCTTTTCAGCCACGACGTAGAACTAGCTTCATACTATATAGAAGTCTTTCGGGCGTGCAAGATTCATGAACCAGCAATGTAGGTTGTAAGATTACTGGACCACCAGTGTAGGTTGTAAGATTACTGGACCAGCAGTTTTTGGTTGTAAGATTACTGGACCAGCAGTGTAGGTTGTAAGATTACTGGACCAGCAGTGTAGGTGTAAGATTACTGGACCACCAGTGTAGGTCGTAAGATTACTGGACCAGCAGTGTAGGTTGTAAGATTACTGGACCAGCAGTGTAGGTTGTAAGATTACTGGACCAGCAGTGTAGGGGTTTTAAAATTACTAGACCCGCAGTGTAAGTAGTAAATTTTCTTGACCAGCAGTGTAGGTTGTAAGATTACTGGGCCAGCAGTGTAGGTTGTAAGATTACTGGACCACCCAGTGTAGGTTGTAAGATTACTGGCCACAGGTAGGTTGAAGATTACTGGACCACCCTTGTAGGTTGTAAGATTACTGGACCACCAGTGTAGGTTGTCAGATTACTGAACCAGCAGTGTAAGTTGTAAGATTACTAGACCAGCAGTGTAGTGTAAGATTAAATGGATCAGCTGTGTAGGGTTTTAAGATTAAATGGACCAGCAGTGTAGGTTGTAAAATTACTGAACCAGCAGTGTAGGTTGTAAGATTACTGGGACCAGCAGTGTAGGGTTTTAAGATTACTGAACCAGCAGTGTAGGTTGTAAGATTAACTGGGACCACCAGTGTAGGTTGTAAGATTACTGGCAGCAATGTAGCTTGTAAGATTACTGGACCAGGGAGTGTAGGTTGTAAGATTACTAGACCAGCAGTGTAGGTTGTAAGATTAGTGAACCAGCATTGTAGGTTGTAAGATTACTGGACCCAGCAGTGTAGGTTGTAAGATTACTGAACCAGCATTGTAGGTTGTAAGATTGCTGGACCAGCAGTGTAGGTTGTAAGATTGCTGGACCAGCAGTGTAAGTTTTTAAGATTACTGGACCAGCATGTAGGTTGTAAGATTACTGGACCAGCAGTGTAGGTTGTAAGATTACTGGACCAGCAGTGTAGGTTGTAAGATTACTGAACCAGCATTGTAGGTTGTAAGATTGCTGGACCAGCAGTGTAGCTTGTAAGATTACGGACCAGCAGTGTAGGTTGTAAGATTACTAGAAACCCAACATTGGTAGGTTGTAGATTACTGGATCAGCAAATGTAGGCTGTAAGATTACTGGATCAGCATGTAGCTTGTAAGATTACTGGACCAGCAGTGTAGGTTGTAAGATTACTAGACCAACATTGTAGGTTGTAAGATTACTGGATCAGCAGTGTAGCTTGTAAGATTACTGGACCAGCAGTGTAGGTTGTAAGATTACTAGACCAACAGTGTAGGTTGTAAGATTACTAGACCAACAGTGTAGGTTGTAAATTATAGACCAACAGTGTAGGTTGTAAGATTACCGGGTTTAGCAGTGTAGGCGTAAGATTACTGGACCAGCAGTGTAGCTTGTAAGATTTACTGGATCAGCAGTGTAGGGTTTTAAGATTACTAGACCAACAGTGTTTGGTTGTAAGATTACTAGACCAACAGTGTAGGTTGTAAGATTACTAGACCAACAGTGTAGGTTGTAAGATTACTGGATCAGCAGTGTAGGCTGTAAGATTACTGGACCAGCAGTGTAGCTTGTAAATTACTGGACCAGCAGTTGTAGGTTGTAAGATTACTGGATCAGCAGTGTAGGCTGTAAGATTACTGGACCAGCAGTGTAGCTTGTAAGATTACTGGACCAGCAGTGTAGGTTGTAAGATTACTAGACCAACAGTGTAGGTTGTAAGATTACTAGACCAACAGTGTAGGTTGTAAGATTACGGATCAGCAGTGTAGGGTGTGTTAAAAAAAGGGAGCAAAAAAATGAAAGTTGCAAGACTGCTAGACCAATTTTTAGGGGGTAAGACTACGAACTAAAAACACATCAATTTTCCTTGTAAGAAACATGCCAGAAGTCAACGTAATACAACACAACACAAAGAACACCAAACTAAATTATTTTCAAGCAACATTTTAAAAAAAAAAATACAATCTGTATAACGTGCAACATTAAAGTCAAGCAACTGTTCAACGTGCAACATAT